AATAATAGATGATGAGGCATAAAGAAAAAAGTGCTCTATGCATTTGTCACTATTCGTATGATCGCAGAGATGGTTGAGTGCATATTTGACTTATACAGTGACTTGCTAGAGCACATCATCAGTTTGATTCACTCAGATAGGTTTAGTACTAACTTGCTAATCCCAAGGAGATGAATGGTGTGGTCAGACCCGAACGCAGCGGGATCGAACCATTGACTATGTGCGCAGCGTAGGGCGCCTCCAGCCATGTTTGAGTGCATATATGTAGATGTACATGATTCAGTGCACAAATGTGTATGTATGTAACGGATAGTGTTGAAAGTGGGAACGGGTGCTGGATAGGCGGTAGACATGCCGTTTAATCGCGTTTGCTCGTGATTTCAAGTATAAGTCGCGTCAGTATCCGATTACAACCGGGGCAACTAAACGAACTTTCACACAGCAGCGAAAAAAATCCACACTTTTCAATCACGGAGAGAGAATTGTTTTCATTGGTTTGATCTATTTACTCGCTAAAGTTATTCACGCATTCAAAAATTATCTATACCAAAAGAAGAAGAAACATAAGTATATACGAATTTTGGGTAAACAAATAGTGATCGACACTAGACAGACGTGAGTAGAAAAGCTTCGAGCAAAAATCCGAGCACAATAGAAACGTTTCGTTGAGGAAAAATTTTGCTGAAAATATGTTGAAAATTGAATGCTGCTCTAATGAACATTCTATGCTATCATGAGGTGCAGTGGTTATAGGTGCTCTGCGTTGCGCATGAGGTCAATGGTTCGATCTCGCTAACATGGCTCACCAAGCCATCCATCCATCCGGGGTCGGTAAACTGGTACCAGACTGGTCTCAGGCTTGTCTGGGAGGATAAGCAGCACTGATTCGGTGCAGCGGGAGGCCACCACGAGTCGCTGTAAAGGCCAAATATGCATCAAAACGAAGTTAAAAATTGAAGGCGAATGCATGGCGCATCTCTCAAGGATTGATTAACTCCAAGAGCTCTGTCTTTTTATCCTTTATCATCATGTCACCGAGTTATGAATCAAACGGCATCAAAATAAAGGAAATGAATAAGGTAAATTGATTCGCAGAAGAATAGAGTTACCAGTCTAGTTCAATTATTGAAATTCACTCCATAATCACTTTCATTCATAATGATTGGTAGAAATAATTTTCATCAAGGAAGCGAATTTCATCTAGTAAAAGCAATGGGTATCCATTGAGCTTAGTTACATACCGAGTCTTCTGGAGCACCGATAAGCACGCGAGGTTTTGCCGTTACCGACTGAGATTGAACCAATGACAATACGCGAATCAAGGCTGAGCACTCTAATGTGCTGTGCGATATGAAGGATAGAGGATGCAGCTCTCGGCGTTGATCATTCGCTGGGGGATGCGCCATGCATTCGTCTTCGCTTTTAATTTCGTCTAAGGCGATTGAATGCATATCTGGTTTCTACAATGACTCACGTTGCATACAGCTGTAGAGAATCAGTGCAGCTTATTTTCCCAGACATGTCTTAATCCTGTCTGGTGTTAATTTTCTGATTCCACAAGGATCGATGGCTCGATGAGCATGAGTACGAGTCCAACCATATACCTTGTGTGCCAAGCGGAGTTCCTCTAACCACTGCGCATCATGCGCTCCTGTTGTGCTACATAGTCAAATATCAGCAACTAGACATTTGAGTTCAGGTAGATTTATTGTGAGAGATTTGAGTTGGTGAGTGAGTCCTGAGATAGCCAGGCTAAGAGGTTTCCACATGGATTGGAGACAGTGAACTGAAGCCAAGCAAGTCTAGTACGAATATCAGGACTCCAAAGGGGTTGACGGTTTGCTGAGCTTGCGACACAGTCGAGCCGGCGCGGTGTTCCCGCTGATTGGCATCTCTACTATTGAGCTACTCGTCCTCTAATGATATTCATCTTGACCACTGTAATTCTTCCCATTTCACCATGAATTTCTCACCGGGTCCGAAAGATAATTAAGTATAAGAACATCATAAACATATGGTAAACTTTCATAGACTGATTAAAATAATGTGGGAACTGAGAGGATGCTCAAAATGACATCTTGAAAACGGAGGAAGTTTAGAGTGATCGTTCAAAGAACAAATTAGCGACCAGCATCGACAACTAAGCTCTTCTTTAACCCCACATATTTGAGGCTTAACTACTGGAGGTATTGGCTTCTCATTGACTTCTTGTCCAACATTTCACAACAACTAAGTGGTGCTTTTTCTAAAAGCTGTCACACAGAGAAAAAAAAAAATGAAATTAGGTGTAAGCACTGACTTTCATCAACGTCTTTTATGTAAAAGAAAACGATTGAATGACGTCACACTCTACAAAACTAGTATACTTTGCTTACATTTTCTACTTGTTATCTGTGTTTTCTGGAGAAAACCACTTTTGGATAGGGGGTGTTCGCAAAACTGTTTCAATGATTTCCTAGGCCTTTCTACGAGATGTTCATCTATTGCTCTTGTTTTCTTTGCATGGAACTTTTAACTTTCTCTCTCTTTCCCTCTCTCTCTCTCTCTCTCTCTCTCTCTTGAGTAGAAATTGGTGACAAAACTATAAAACTGTCTAGAGGACCGCAATAAATGAAATCTGAACACAGACTAAATTTCAGAATAGAAAGGAGAATAACTCAAAGTACGCCGATCTCTAGTAGCATTACAGTATCCCAGCTACAGTAACTACGCTTTCGGCTTGTTACGTGTGGTCCGCATGATGACGAACTACAATGTTTGTCATTTGAGGAACATAGATAGTAGGGTTTCAAACCTCGCAGAGGAGCGGGAATAGCGCAGTCGAAGCGCTCTGGTTAACTCTGACAACTCAGAAGGAGAGATTTTTCCAAGAAACTTTCTTGGAACTTCCAAGACTATTATGGCGATTTTATAATCTTTATGGCCCTTTGTTTGTGCTTTGCCAAGTGGATACTTCGGAGTACTGGAAAGATGGAAGAAAATCAGGTAGAAATACTGAAATTGACGGCGAAACATGTGCACACAGGGCCGAGCAGTCGTCTAGGGATCGATATACGACTGAAGAAAGAGGGCTGGTTCGCTGGCTGTGGACTCGATGACAGCGTGTGTGAGGGAGAGAAAGAGTGTGTGCGTGTCTCTGGAAGTGTCGGGGCACAAGCTCAAAGCGAGCTATTAAGCCGTGAAGTGTGATGTTACTCTACCATCGCGCCAGATTCCCGCAAGAATCCAGATGTTGCTCAGACTTGTCTCACATTTCGAAGGGCGTCCACTTTTCTCTCTACAGTTATAGTACCGATCTTGATGCCGCGATCAGACTGAATTGAGGAAAAAGTCATAGAAGGGATTACAAGACTGGAATTTCCTTAAACCAAAGTCTGTTGTAGATGTAACATTGTTCAACATTTCCCCTACCACCCAGCCGAAAATGTCTTTGCTTGAGGCATTAGCATTACGAAGAAAACACATTTAGCAAATGCATCGAAATAATGACCAATCATAAATCCTCGTAATCACATTAATGCAAAAAGAATCTAAAACTCATTTCGCGGTTGATGATAAATGAAGGAGTTGAACGAGTCGGCCAAAGATCGGGCTTAAGACCATGAGCCCCACATGAGCACCCCAGTTAGGGACGACAATGATACACATAAGTGCAGAGTTTTCTTTAACAAATACAACGTCACATCTTGCTTCGATCTCAGCACTTCTTGCATTAGATTTGTTTTCCCTTCCCATCACTCACGGAAATCATCGCATGTGGAGTGTAGCAGCGACTACTGCTTGGAGTTTTCGATCTTTATGAATTTTTCTAAATTCTGGTCTTGTCAACTTCTCCTAAAATCCTAAACCAATTGTGTTGGAATACTGAATAACTTGATCAGAGGCACTCACCATCGTTCTTGGAATGTAAGAGGACTTAGATAATTTCTGACGTTCAGCACACAATTTCTCAATTCGACTGATACGAGACGAGACTTGGGGGCTTGAGTAGAGTAAAATGAAAGTCTTATTCGTACTGAACAAAATAACAACAATCATTGTACTACTCATTGCCTACATAGGTATAGAGTGACATAAATATACAAACAGATACATGTGTGCATACACAAACATACATGCTAGGCACAAATCCAATTCCAAAGGTTTGGTCCCTCAGCAGACTTGCACCTTCGATACTTTCATCCACACACCTATATCCATCCTTGTACACGTATATACATATATATATATATATATATATATATATATATATATATATATATATATATATATATATATATTGGTCCATGCACATGTACGTACACACGATCTATCTGACGTGTATATTGTACACCCGTTAACACCTACACACACTGTAGACTTGTTAACACTGAAAGTAGTGTAATTGAGTGATGAGCAACAGATAAAACCGTTCCGAGTGAAATCACGTCGAGACCTGGACGTGAAGCCGTCAGGAGGCGAATCTCCCGACAGCGCTATTTACAATCGTTATCTCGTCAACGGTGGAAAATAACTAGCTGGTTAGATGTGATGGAGTAGATGTTGCTGTTCATAAACAACAGCGATGTCACAAGCGTGGTCGAAGCCCGACTCCCATCCAGATGGAGATTTCGCATGAACAATGTCAGCAGATTGTCTCATACTACATGTCACATGTCAATTATCTTCTTTTAGAAAGAATGAATCTCTTGAATGATTTATTTTACCTCACAAAGCAGCACTCGTTTAGTGGTCTCTCTTCGAAAGAAAAGGATGTAAACTCCGTGTATACCTCTGGTTGAAAAAACCTTACCATATTTTTTCTTAATGGATATATTTATAACAACATTACAACGGTTGAAGCGGATGAAAAAAGGAATTCTATTTGATCAACTGATACCCAATATGTGTCAGCGTGACTAGATTCAATGTCGATACCGACTACCTGGGCCTAAAACTGATAATGATTGGATGCTGATGATAGATGCGATGTAGTGTAGAAAGAGTCGTGTGCAAAACGGGCGTCAGAAGTGCAATGGATTAGAGCACGCGCTCCCGGATAGAGTGAGATACGGGTTCGACTCCCGCCTGAGGCGAAAATTGCGCATATCACTCTACATCAATGAGTGTATGTATAACATCATACCACTGCTAAAAGGGATTAGAAAAAAGAGATTCTTTTAATGTTACGAACTTCACAATGATTTTGGTAACAACTAAATCATATACTATGATTACAAAAAGGATGTAAATGTGATGGCTTCTTCCTTGTCGCTAATACCCTCATCGAGAATCTTTATGAAGAATCGTCTCACACCCAGCAAGAATTTTATCTTAAGTGGATCGCTGAGTGGTATTTCCAAGATTTCCTTCCTAGAGCACCAAGAGCGCGACAGTCTCACCCATTCTCGAATGAGTCTGTTGAAGTATGTTACGAAAAACGGTGGACTCGTGAAGACTTCATGAAAGCGAGCAGCCCATCCACTCTCAACCGTTGGGTTCAATTTTTATATTTACTGAAATACGAAGATGTAGTGAGGGGGATGAAGAACACCTATATTTCGTGCCCACATTTCCAACTCAACGACTCTTCCAACCGTGACATACGTATCAGCAACCTGGTAATAATGTAAGGAGAAAGGAGGATTGAAAGGCTTCAGACATCAATGTCATGATGCTACAGCGATGATCCGTGGATGTGCATCGAACTCTCACTAGCCACTTTTTCATACTGTTCGAGGAACTACATTTTTGAGCTTAAAGCTTAAGTCAGCATCGAGCGAAATTGGTGGCATCTGTCGATCATAGAAACAAAGAAGTGTTTACTGTTTTATGAGTTGAACTTTTTTCCGAAGAGAGCATCGAAACCGGCAATTCATCGCAACTCGACAATGATGTGTATGCCAATTTTTGGCTCGCGGTCTAGCTGATTTTACTTCAGAATTAGCCCTGTCTTCACTGTTTCTGCTTCAATTTTGGAATAATCAAGTTTATCGTCTTTGTGGGAAATACCAATGTCTCATAAATATGAGCCGTTCAGGAAATAATGGAGAGTGAAGACAAAGTAAAAGGACATCAAAAGAAGCAACAAAATCAGGACTGAGGTAAAGAAAACAAAACGGAATTCCGGATCAAATTGATAACAAAAGCCCATCTCTAATTTTGTAACTGAGAGCTTTCGCCGCCTGAAGTTTCGCTGTCAACAAAAAGCTTGCTATGAGAAATTTGTCGCTCAACCTTCGATTTTTTCACTAGAAGCACATGCGCTTACAAGCGAAGTACCGAGTAAAAATACTAGTTACAGATGCCATGAAGTAATACACACATGGTTGCTGGCTTGATCTTGCTTCAGTCAACCAAATCTCATTCGTCGTGGTTTGGCGAATGGCTACCAAACGGAGAAAGCTCTTGCATTTTCACTGCGTATTGCGACTGCTTATGGTGTAGACCAGCGCGAGCGACATTTTATGCTACAGTTGATACTTTTGTTAAAATCATAATAAAAGCGCCTTCAATTGAGACAATGTGCAATTCTTCAAATAGTAGAGGGAGAAAGGGCTCCGTAATGTGGCACTAGCGACTGATAAGTAATGGTTTAATTCTAGCTTCTCTATGAAAGGTTTCCTTATTGGGCTTACATCGATGTGTTGTGATGTTTATGACGAGAGATTGTCATAGACTGAAACATCATTGCGCTAATTCGTTTGCGCTGAAGCATAAACAAAAGCTTCCATTGACAAAGGGATCGAGGTAGGTTCAAAAGAAAAAACCAAAATTTACTTCAACGCAAGTAATATAAACCATCGAATTAGTGTGGATATTTCGCAAAAGATAAATTAGACGAAAAAGTAGTGGAGTAGGAAGGTTACAGAACAGGAGGAGCTATGAGTGAAATTTTAAGAAAAATATGTGAAAAGGAAGAAGTTAAGGAACAAATGACCGAATTATAGAACATAGCGATAATCTCAAGAAGGCATGCACATTGTGAATTGTAGTTGAACGGCACGAAATATCTGGGCTTAAAAACTTTTTCTTTACTCGAGAAACCAGTTAATAAAAACAGCGGAGTTAAGCGAGCTGGTCCTGAGGTGTCCGAAACAAATCAACATTGAACTTGGAGAAGTATGATTGAACATGTTCCAAATGGAATAGGAATAGCAGAGTAAAGTGACAATATAGACAAAAACAAATCGCCTAGAGTTTATAAAAGGCATTCTCCAGTAAAGCTTGAATCCAAGCTATTATATGGTAAAGCTATAAATATTCCTTGTAAAAAATAAGAGGGCATATTGAGTTGTACAAAAGTCTATAATCCGCACAACATCAACTCAAATCGAACGCTAACGGAAAGAATTTTATGAACAACTTTTACTACACAAATTTCAACTGCATTCGGTTTATTACTTCGTTCTTGTGCGCTTGTCGATGAGCTAATCGTGGGATTCCTTGTCGTCACAGGAATTATTACTGACCTATAAGAGCGGAACTGCAAAAAACAGTAACATCTCACCAAAATCATCGAAGTGGAGTGATTTTGTAATTAACGGTAAAGGAATATGAGAACTTTAGCACTTCAAACTCGGAATCATATGAAATTCATTCAACCAAAATTCAGCATGCTACTGGCGAGTTGCGACAAAGAATCCTTAGGGCTTACACAAGTTTACACTACTTATCTAAGTAGGAGAGCAAAAAAGGCCTTCATGAATGACAGATGATAGACGTCAAAACGAATGGAAAAATGCTGGAATCTTTGACATGTGAAAGTGGCTCTTCTAAGAAAAAAACTACAGTTTAAAAAGATCGGGTTTTGAAATAAGCAAAGCGAGAATATTTAGCTCATTTAATGAACGAAGTCTTTGCTAATGGACAAGTTTCAGCTAGCATCGAAAATTATACATTGCGGTGTTGAATTTGTTTATTCTCACACAACTCTCAAAATAAAAGTCTTAATCATTAGAGAAACGTTACCTGCAGCAGCTGTAGCCAAGTCAAATAACTCTAACGGCTATTCGTTACATTAAGCTGCGGAACTTAACATTGGGTTATGCACGCCTGAAAAACATGAAGGGACTACAAATTTTCGTTTAAAGATGATCATACTCCATTTTAGAAGGTGATTTCATCATAGAGTGCTCGTCGGGTTTCATGGACGATTATGTGCTAGGATTTATGCTGAAGGTAGCCTGGAATAATCTTAGGCGACCAGTCTGCCACGTTTTTTTGTTGGATGAGAGTTTTACACTATCACATCAGCATGTTTGCAAGGCCACATATTTATGCGAGATTACAGTTCTTTTTTACGTCTAGTTAGCCCAGAAGTCAAAAGCTGTTTTTGTTCGCATCCCATTAATTATAGCTAATAAATAGAAGATTCGAGAAAAAGAGAGATGGTAAACATAGAATAATCAAAAGCATACAGGTTCTCTAGATATCTACTAAGTCTTTCAATCGAAACATCAAAGTGGTTCCAGGTTTCATCTCAACAATTAAATTGACATGGTGTCGTTTTAAATAGTCTTTTACAAAATTGCACACCAAAATGGTCTTGATGACATTTCTTTAATATCATGAACACGATGTTCGTCTCTCAGCATCAAGTTACAGTACTTTCAGCAAAAGGAGAGGCGACGAAAGTCATTTACGATCATTACACTAAGCTATTAACCAAATATGTCTACCCGTCTCTACATTTGGTTGGATGGGATAAGTTAATCGTCGTACCGACTCTTTCTTCTGGAATCCTTTGGTCCAATAAGTAATCAATTGATCAATATCCTTTCTTAAGAAAAATGCTTCAAATCTTCTAAAAAACACATTGATGGTCTTCACCACCTCGGTATACGACTTATCACACTTTAATTTTTCCTTCTCGCTCGTATTAATCTGACTGGGCCCTACTTGTTGTAGGATTCGTTTAACAACATGTCTTTCTTCCAGGTACTTTGGGAGGAAATTAGACCGGCGGGTCGGTGGTTTTTCTATTGTACGTTCAATATCCCGATCAATCCACTCAGCAACGGTTCTCGTAAATCAGTTCGGTTAAAAACTCATTACGTGTACGATCTGATCAACGACATCTTAGCATGGGAAACGGCGTTTTTGAATGTCAGTCGCTAATTTGGTCACAATTTCGAATTCTTTTTCTTATTTGAGAAATACGGATACTCATAGCATCGTTCATAGAAGTGCGTTTTCAATATCTCAAAATAATTTTCTATCGCTGTTAGCGTAGCACTTGATTTTCTATATGTTGAGTGAGAAAAGTTGCGTAGTTGAAGAGGTTTACATGGTTTGAATGTTCGTCTTTTCTCCAAGAAATATTTAATGCTCTTCTACGCTCTGCAAGCCCCTCGATTGTCCCTGCTCACTTTTGGAGCTACGTCGTCCATTTGTGATGACTTATCAAACAAGATGAACACATGTGGACATTTAGAGAGATTAGATCCGTTGAACATAACTGGATATACAGAACTACACTGCTCCTCATAAGCATCGTTTTGTGAGATTAGTGAGAGACCAGCCTTACTACTGCCGCTGTCGAAATCGATGAACATTGTCTCTGGCTAATGCTTGGTGTTATAAGAATGAGCCATCAGCAAAGCGCGGGTGGTGTAATTGTCGACCATAATTTTACACTCATGTTATCCCACTAGTGTTCATACGGCTTTCCGGAGGGTAAAAGTGAGCAATTTTGGAAAGATAGCATTGTCTTAATGATTTCTTCTCATACGCCGATAGTAACATCGTTATAGAATGCTAGCATTTCCGCTGCGAAATCTTTACAACGCTCTGAAAAATCTTTGTGTGCTGATTATAGACCACTTCGCCGCCCAGAGTTCCTCTCACTGCTTCTGCATCGACTCAATCAAAGCCTAATAATTATTTTTGAGCCATGCATGTGGTACGTTATAGGGCAACTTGTAGAGCCCGATGCACGTGTTTCAACCTTGAGGTCTCAACAGTTGGACGGTAGCATTCGTCTTTTGCCAATCCTCTGAGGATGCTCCAATCTCTCATATTAAGAGTAAGCAACGACGAACATTTTACACGGTCATGTGAAATTATTACTGAATGGAAAGTGTTGTACACTCGA